CCCCACTGAGCCAATGACGGGAGGCACCAAATGCTGAGAATCTGGGATAACCGGCTCCAAAGACCCGGCTTTTTGTCTCTTCCCATGGCCCAGCTTGCACTGCCCATGGTGCTAGGTGCCAGGCTGGGAGAGCTGCATTCCTGGCTGCAGGTTTGACTGAGGGCTCATTTAGGGGCGGTCTCCAATTACCAACAAAGGGGCAACAGCAGTCCGGGTAGATACAACAGCAGCGGTAGGAGTCCGCTGGGGTCACCAACCGGCCGCTATTCGGAGAGCGAGTTCCAGTTCGTCTCCGTGTGCCTACAGCACGATGCAGCCTCGGGAGAACACCTGTTATAGTTACCAACCTTGGGCTACAACAAACCTGGTCCCTGGATTGTCCCTTGAGCCAAAAGTTGGAGGGAACGTTGGTCCACACTAAGGTATAGCTATATCAGGCTACTTCTACTACCCTACAGCCCGGATCTGCACTCTCAGATCAATCTATCGGCGGCTGATTTAGAAGGTCTAGTTAAGACCCATCAAATCAACTGCAGATCGTTCTCCCTTCCTTCCAGTTACTCTTCCCATCTGGGGTAAAGTAAGGGAAGGCGACAGGAGAATTTCACATAACTGGAGTTGTGTAGCTTAAGTTCACTTTCCATTGTAGTGTACATGGAGGGAGAAAGAAAAAAAATAAACCACTCTCCGAATAGACATAGATCTACTAGTCATTATTAATTACTCGTATTGTCATAGTACTTTGGAGCCTGAGTCATGGACCACGACCCCTACAGTACTAGGTGCTGTACAAAAAAGGACCATCCTGGTCAGTTTTTAAGCTCAGATCCTCCTTTCTGCCCAGGTCACTTGCTTTAAAAAAAAAAAAAAAAAAAAAAAAGCAAGCAGCTGCCATCAAAACGTAGTTTAACTTTGCTGTAAAACTATCTCCTTTGCAGCAGCAAAGGAAGCTTGGCCTTGTGGCTGAGACCTTCACCTAGAAATTAAGAGACCTGGGTGGTGCTGCCACTGACCCCCTGCAGGAGACTCAGAAAGATGCCGAGTCTTTCTGGGCCTCAGTTTCCCCATTTGTGAAAGAGCGATGAATACCACCGAGGGTTTGCCTTGTTTGTTTCTGTGAAACTTTTTGGAGGCTAGGAGCAGTCTCACTACATGTACATACAGTGCCTAGTACAACAGGACCTTGAGTCCAACCACCACCACATGACACCAACCTGAACTTAGAGTGGGTTTCTTCCAAGTACTGGTTCACCACCCGCAGATGGCCATTCTCCCCTTCGAACATCTTATTGGCAGCTGCGTGCTGCAGCGGAGCCCAGGTTGCGCCGGTGCTCGGGATGCAGGGCCACCCCAGCAGAGACATCGACGATATCGAAGCCGTCCGGCGCCACCACGGCCGGGTTCATGAACCGGTAATAGAGCAGGTTCCCAACAATCTAGGGTGCAGGGAGGAGCAGCGACAGAGAAATATTACTACTACTAACGCCTTGCTCTTATGTGGCTATACAATGCAGGGCCCATGACACACAGTTTAGGAGTTCTGTTTCCATCCCACAGGAGGCAGCAGTGCACATACACTAGCCAGCTCATTACACTAGACTTATTCCTCTTACACAAATGGGGAAATGGCAGCACAGAGCAGGCACGGGACTTTCCCCAGGCCATACGATATAACTGCACCCGGAATTCAAATTGCTGGGCATGTGCCAATAGGCCACACTGCTCCTCCGATAGGATGCCATAGGAGGGCCTGGACATTTAGTTGCAGCCAACTACAGAGGCCTTGCCCAGCGATCCGCGTCCTCTACACACCTTGCAAATCTCCTCCTCGCTGGCATCTGGGAATTTCTTGGCCAGGGACGTCTTTAGGACTTTGGCCATGTAGCGCATGCCGTAGCTAGAAGAAGTCAGAGGAGAGGTTTCTTCCCAGGGCTGAGGTCAGCCGGCTGGCTCAGACTCACAAAATGTTAAGACCAGAGAGGGTTAACGATCATCTAGTCCTACCTCCCACATGGCCTCTCCCAATGGTTCCTATGTCCAGCCCATGACCTTCGAGCTAGACCAGTAGTTTTCCAACAAGGGGTCGCACCCCAGGACTGGGTGTTGGAATGTTGGGCACTGGGTCTTGTTGGTGCAGGATCAGGGGAGCACCCCACAAGCAATCGGCAGCAGGCCCGGCTCCTAAGGGGCGGGGCAGGAAGAGCGCACAGGGCTCGGTGTTCTGCCCGTCCTGAGCACTAGCGCCGCATTCCCAGTGGCTGGGAACCTGCTGCTGGCTGTTTCTGGGGGAAACATAGTCTGCGGTGCCAGGAGAGGCAGGAAGCTGCCTTAGGCCCCCCCTCCCCGCTGCACCACTGACC